TTGTGAATTTTCTTCAATTTGTAGACAGTAATAATACATACAGGTTTGAATACAAACATACACCCCCACCAATGCTTGGTCAAACGCACCTTGGCAGGTTGAACCTCAGTCTTTATGAATGCATATATCTGGCTTTGTTTGACAACTTGTCATGGTAGAATTGAAGTTGGTTGAGTTAAACTCAACTTTTAAATCATAATCCACAATTTTTGTTCAGGTTGACTTTGACGCTTTGGGAAGACCATATCAGAAATTTAAACTAGACATATCTCTTTTACATCCTTCTTTTTCACATTTAAATGGTTCATTTGGGGAGTAAATAAGGTGGAACTGCAATGTTTTGATCTGAATTCCTCCTTATTGTAATTCCACAAGTCCCTCTTTCACCCCTTTTCTGAGCTGTCTCAGATCAACTCATTTTGAGGCTCTCTTTAAATCTTTAAATAAGCAAGGTGCTTYAAACCCCGCCCCCTCCAGCTTCCAGACCGTTCCAGTCAGGTTTGATAGAAGGGTTTACACTGGAATTTATCTCTGAAGGAGTTTCCTGAGATTCTTGCACCATACCGTGCTTCTCTGTTTTCAATAATCTTGGGAGTGTTTTTAGGCAGTGCTTTTAAATTAACAACTATCTTAAGTTATTATCAGTTACATCTAATTGCCAAAGCAAAAACTTACATTCCCTCAAAAGACCTCAAAACTCTTATCCATGTCTTCATCACCACTGGACTACTTTAAGGTAGCGCAACTCTGTTGCTGCATGACCGGTTCACCTGTTCTCCCATGTTTGTCATATGTGTCTTCTTGAATGGGTGTTCTTAACTGCCTGCACCCCCCCCCCCTGATTGTACAGCACCTTGTGAATATATTTCTATGAAAGGTGCCATATAAATAAAACTTTATTTACTTACGTACTGCAGCTCTTTGTGTTGGTCTGGAACAGCCGTCTCTCCATTGTCTGTAGTAGTCCAGAACACCGCTGCACGTCTTTTAAAAGATATCAGAAGGTGTGATCACATCACTCCTTTTTTAGCTGACCTACACTGGCTGCCTTTGTTGTGAAATTGATTTAAAAATTCTTTCACTGTACTTATAATGTTTTAAATGGTTTGGCACCCAGTTATTTGTTGGATCTTTTATTGGCTCCTCTACTCAGATACTTTTAGTGCTTGCCGAGGACTAAACTAAAAAGTATGTTGTTTCTTGTGTCCACAAAACTCACATTTGATCACAGACCTTGTTTCCCCAGAAGACATTTGGTTTGTCTGTGTAGGCAGTTGTATATTTCAGTCAAGTTTGAARTTGTGGCTTTTGGAGCAGGAGCCTTTTTCTTGGTTGACACCCTCTCAGCCCATGGCAATGTCTCACTTTACTGTGGACAGCAGCACTGGTGTTCCAGTTGAACCTCGGTGGTTCTTTAGGTGATCCTGAACAACCTWACCAAACTCTTTCATCAAAAGGGTGTTGTATATTGTATAGTCATTCCACCATGGAAAACCAATGGTTCAAACAAAAATAAGATTATATTGGTTGATACTCCAACAGAATTTCTCCACTTACACTTTTGGACAGTCCATCAGATATTGATGTCAGAATGAAAGGAGGACATCTCCCASTAGGAAGAGACCCCAGGTCAGACCCAGAACACACCAGAGGGATTATATTATAATTATTATATGCTAATCCACACCTTTGTCTCGACCCGCCTAGACTATTGCAACTGTCTGTTCACCTGCCTGAAYCAAAACAACTTAATCGTCTCCAACTTGTACAATATTCAGCAGCAAGACTTCTAACTCGCACTTCGAAACTCTCCCACATTACTCYGATCTTATCAGAGCTTCACTGGCTACCTGYCAACTWCAGACTCRGATTCAAAATTCYAGTTCTCACCTTCAGAGCCCTACATGGCCAGGYGCCCAACTACATCTAGAGCCTCATCTCCCACTATAATCCAACACACAATTTGTGTTCACAAAATCAGAACCTTCTCATGGTCCCCCATACCCRTCTCAAAATGCGCAGAGATCRTGCTTTCTCCTCCATGGCTCCCAGACTTTGGAATGCTCTCCCGACCCATCTGCRCTCCCTTGATAACACTGACACCTTTAAAAATCAACTAAAAACATCTATTCACTCAAGCATTTAGCTGAAGGTATCCTGCCRTCCACAACATAAWTCCTGAACCTAAATTTCCTTAACTGCAAAACACGTATTTTACTTCAGACTGGTATCCATTCATTTACATTTTATACGCCATGACCTTCGACTCCAATTAGTTACAGGCAAGCCTATCTATTGTATATACCTTAATTTCTTCTTTCTCCATCAGTGTTATTCCATGCCCCGTACTATTCCAAAAAATTTGAGAATGTATTGAACTGAATTTCACCATTTGTAATGTAACCGTCAAGTATTTCTGTTTTTCTATTTGTGTTCGATTATTGTACAGCACCTGCTGCCAATCAGCTCTTTCTATATTAATG